TGCCTGGTGCCCTCTTCTTGCTCCCAATGTGCTTGAAAAAGGACTTTTTGTTGTCCTTAATCCTGGACTCTAGCCTGAGTTCCATCTCTGCCTTTGCCTTCCTAATAGCTCTCCTACACTCACAGGCCGAGGAGGAGTACTCCTCCTTGGTGATAGCTCCTCCCTTCCACTGGTTGTATGCCCCCCTTTTTGTCCTCAGGCATTGCTGAATGCCCCTCCTGAGCCAAGGGGGTTTCTGAGCACTCTTACACCCCTTGCTTCTCTTGGGGACTGTTATCCTTTGGGCCTGGAGGATCGCCTCCTTAAGGTATGATCATCCCTTGTGGACTTCCATCTCCTCTACCTTCTGGGCCCTCAGTGCCTCCCCCACTAGGCTCCTAAGTTCATTGAAGTTGGCCTTTCTGAAGTCAAGGGCATTAACCTTAGTGTAAGCTCTTGACACCCTGCAGGTTGATGATCGCTATTGCCCAGGTGGTCAAGGACCTGCAGTCCCCTCACCAGGTCATCTCCCATGGCCAGGGCCAGGTCCAGCAAGGCGTTACCCCTAGTGGGGCTGTCAGAAACAGTTTTATAACTGAATTGTCTGAAACAGTGTTAGGTAGACTAAAATTTTCCTATTGTTTGCGTTTGTGTTCATGTATATACATGTACATACCTGTAAGTGTATATTATTCCAGGACAGACTTTATATTTTCAGCAAGTTGCATGGTAATTTTCCAAACTTGTAGTTTTAAAAGTAAATCTGTTAGGGGAATCAAATTTTAAGTGCAGTAAAGAAATAGCTTTAACAGAAAACACATCCTACGTATAGAACAATATTAGAATATTTAAAGCTGATTTTTTTCCTTTTCTGTTTTTTAAAAAAAAACAATGTGCATGTGCTACAGAAAATTCTGGAGTTGTAGATAATTTTTTGTGTTCTTTAAAACAGCATGGCAGCAGCATGACGTACAGGAACTATGCAGAGTTATGTTTGATGCTTTGGAGCAGAAATGGAAGCAAACAGAGCAGGTAACTGTTCTGAAGCTTTTGTGCATGTGACAAATTTAATGTGCTTTTCAGGGAAATGATGTTGGAGGAATGTGGTTTAGGTTTAGTTTCTCAACCTATCTTGCAAGGTAATTGAAAGTTTGCCACTGCCGTCATTTTGTGTCTCATCTCTGGCAGCATTTAGCTTATTGAATGCTGAAGTGTGTGACTTTTTAGGTCTGATTATTGACCTTAGTCCTTCAATGTAAAGCTGAATGTTCCACAGTTTAAATAGTCCAAAATAGATTAGATTCTTGGGCTTGATTTGCATTTCAGAAACCCAGCGTGATTGACCAGTTGAAGATTTTCTCTTCCATGGGTCCCCATTAAGCCTCATAACTGACTGGCAGCTGGTTCCCACTGTGGTGCTTTACTTGAAAGCACGGTGTGGCCAGGACGTTTCTACAGTGTAGCAGCTCAGCATGGAATACCACAACTAAGAAGCTGTAAACACTTTAGTTACCCCATAGGATACAGGGCACCTTCTCTCCCTTCACCCATTAAATATTAGCCATCTAAAATTGGGGCATGCATCTTAAGCAAGGAAACAGATTTCTGTGCTGGAGTAGAGACCTAGGGATGCTGGGATGCCTGTCAAGGGCGGTTCTCTGTTCCTGTCCTATGGAGCAGGGAAAGGTAGAATCAACTCTTGAGGATAGCTCCCCTGCCCACTGATGCCCAATCAAAAGCCAGAGGTTAACAGTCTTGCAGCCACTGCCAAATGGGCAGTAGCTTTTAGCTGAGCACTCTTCTTGAATGTAAATGAGGTCCTAGAACTGTAATTCTTAAGCACTAAGAAATACTGTTGTAAAACCAGCCTTTTTGGTTCACGTATCGCCACTAAAAATGTAGTGAAGTGAATTAATGAAGTGTTGAGCTCCTATTCTATTAGTAACCACACCACAGTTTGGTGGCTTCTACTTTTGGCAACTGTTTTATTGAGCAGAAAGTAGGAACCATTTTAATAGATCAAGGATACTCATGGACAAAAATGTTTCTTGAAGTGTGCAGCTGTGAGTGTGAAATGTATTTAATTTTTTAATAGTTGTGTTAATGAGAAATATTGTCAGTTTAAAAAAAAAGGAAGTTTTCTTCAGATGTTTTAGTTATATCAAAATATCTGTTTTAGGCGGATCTCATAAATCAGCTGTATCAAGGCAAACTGAAGGACTATGTAAGATGTCTGGAATGTGGCTACGAGAGCTGGAGAATCGACACTTACTTGGATATTCCTTTGGTCATCCGGCCTTATGGCTCCAACCAGGCATTTGCTAGCGTGGTGTGTACTCTTATGCTGACTGCTAGTGTATCTATATCCACATAGAACACAATGCAACAGTGGTATAATTTCTTACCTGGTAAGTATCATCCTAGATACTCTATCTTGGGGTGTTCGTCTTTGTGCAGTGAACCAGCTAGCAAGTTCTAGAAAATCTTTATTTATTTATTTATTTTACCCTTCAATAAGTCCTACTGGTGCATGTATATGGGGAGGGAAAAGGCAGCTATACTTCTTCGTGATTATATTATTTTTCCTAACTGGAATTTTCAGCATTTACCTTAGGTTTCTTTTGTGAAATCATTTGCTGTTACTTTGGGTGCTTTTCTTTGTTAGTACTTTTTAGATTTTCTTATCACTGTTGAACGTTTTAGTAAAAGAGGAAAGCTACATAGTGGACTTTATTTTTAGTTTTATCTCTATCTGCTATTATATTTTGAGAAAAAAAGGGTACTGAAATAACCTATGCTCTTAGCAACTCCTGAAATGCTAATGATACAAAATTCCATTGTTTGCTTCCATTTTATTTTACTATTTGTGCACCAGCATTGCTGATGTTGACAGGCATAGGTAGAATTGTTAAGGTATACTTTTTAATTGCCTCCTTTCTGCAAGGAAAGCAATTTGTGTTATTTCAAACCAGCATTGTGGACAGGATAATTAAAATAATGGAGATGAGCCAAAGTACATTCTCCAAAATTTAGTTTGATTAGCACAAAAGTCATGTTGGGTAAACTGTTTCCCAATATTTATTTACATTTCTTTTAAAATTTAGTGATTTCCCATGTGTATTTAATGCCAGCACTATTTTAAAATATTAATATATAACTGTTTCCTTTACTTAACAAAGGAATTGCAATTTCTATTTTAGTCAGTGTAACTTCAGTTATAGGGCACTTGACACCTTAAAACATCAAATAAAGTCTTTAGAAGTGGTAGGGTAAGAATACCACCCATCATGTAATTTACAGACAGGGTGCAAGTGAGAATAGTCTTCTGAATGCCTTTAATTTTGATGGACAGCAAAGTATTTCAAATATTTTTTTTACCTCTTTCCACCTACCTGGAGCTGTTTTTTAAGTTGCAAATTCATCATATTCCTGAGCTTACTATTTTTAAATAGATTGCTTCCTCTTTCACATTTTTAAGGTTATAGTTCTACAACTATGTCAGTAAAACAATGGATTTTGCTTTTTTGCATTTTGATTGATTCAGTGAGTTTTAAATACATGGTTAAAAAACTTGGATTACATTTTAATTATACTTTTTTATAGAGTGGTGTACTTGTCTCAGATTATTCTGAAATTATTTTCTTTGGTAGAGAAGTCTACAACAAAATATTATGAAGTTTTAAAATTTGCAAATGTATATAAAGATACAGGAAACTTGCACAATTAGGTCTTTAATATCAGACTAGTTTATTGTCTGGTATTTCTCTTGTTAATCATTGTTTGCTGAATTTCAGTATTTATATGACAAGGTAAACTAGTTTTAAGTCTTTGTTAGAGAGAGTTACATGTTGCAGTTATTGATGCTTCATTTATCTGAGTTATCGTGTAATTCTTTAACTACGTAGTTGATTCTCCTCCTCTGTATTTGCCTTATCCATAGTGGATGTTATTTTAGCTTTATAGTCTTCAACAGTGAGGAGATATGGAGGATACTTGCTTTTGGAGAAGGGAAAAATCGCCTGTTTCTAAATGGAATTCTCTGAAGGTAGTATCCTCCATTGATCCATAGCTAATGGTTTTAGTAGGTTTAGGTAAATGGGTATGAAAAAAGTGTTAACACATGCGCTAATAGGGCTTGTAGAAGGGAATATAAAACTTTTTAGATCTTGCTAGTCAGCTCCTGAGGGAACTTGCAGCAGGCGACACAACCCAAGATAGGGGATCTAAGGAGGATACTACCTTCAAAGAACTCTAGTTAGAGGTAAGTGATTTTCCATTACTTTCTAAAAAGAGAGGATGGATGAACAAGTTTATAAAATACTTGGCATACTGTATACTTCCTTAAGTTAATTATGCTACTGTGTGCAATTGTGTCCTATTGAACTATTTTCAATATAGGAAATTCCATGCATTCAATTTTTATAAGCAGGCAGTGCTCGAGAACTTCAAAGAAGTATGCTTCTTTTTCTAAACAGAAAAGAATTTAAGCCTGCTTTCTAAAATAATCAATTTCATATTCTCCTTAAATTTTACAATTTGAGGAAGCTTTTATTTTCTTTTAGTGTTTCCTTCTTTTTCCTTTAGTTCATGTCATGTAGTATAGCTTTAACATCATTAGTCCATGTTCAGGACATCAGACTTTCAGAGCATGCTATAATGCCATGAGAGTACTAGTTTAATGACTAAGCTCCGTTCAAGTGCTTCATTTAAAAAAAAACAAACAACCCAACCAATACTTTTTATTAGGAGTTGCCATAGAGCCATTCCTTGAAGCTTCAGATGTGAGATAATGAGCTATATAGTCATTAATCCTATTTAGATCCTAAAGAAAAGCCATGGAAAACGTTATGGTCTTGTAATTAAAAAAAGGATTTTTATATTAAGCTGCCTTTTGTGTTGGCTGTATCAAAAGAACTAGACAGTTGAATTTACCTTGTTCAAACAGAATAGGTATAGAAATAGTATAAAATGTGGTATTAAGGTTGAACTACTGTCTAAATTCTAGAGGTATCATAGGTTTTCACCTGTACTGCTAGGGCTAAGGACAGACATTCAGGAGGTTTAAAGCGGTTTCAGAATGGCCTCCCAATTTAAACTTAGCTCATCCCAGTGCTGACTGTACACTTACGGACCTGGTCTCAGTAAACAGCAGCCACTCTAAACCTGTAACTGAACAGAAGTTTTATATACACAAACCAGTCTAAAAACTGCCATACCAGTTTTAAGATAAACCTGGATCTATGTAGTATGAAACTCATTCTATTTAGGTGAAACTAGTGCATGGAACTTCTGTCCACTTCCCTTGTGCAGCCCTGGAGCTGGGAAAACCCAGCCACTGGTCCCAGCCCTGGGGCAGCTCTTTTTACTCC